GTACTCAAGTTGATAACTTGAAGGATCTGCTCTGTCAAAACCACAAGTCTTTATTGCATGTAAGGACTTTATCTTGGTATGTGAATGAAATCTTTACCAAAAATATTTTTAAAAACAGTGAATTGTACCTTTAATGTGGGCTATAGCTCCCTTTGGGAATCTGACCAAACTCTTTCTCCGACCCTCAAAGAATGCATGGAGACACATAAACAGAATTTTTGCATGTAATTTCAAGAGTCCAATGACCTAAAATAAACATTCCTATTTTAAAAGAAGATGGTTTCCATGGTGGGAAATAAATGGCTCATATTTCAGTTTCCTCATTTGAATCCTTTTTAAGGGTAATGATAATTTCCATTCATCTAAAATGTTAGGCATTTCCAGGGAATATATTCCTACCTATTATTTAATTGTGAACATTTCTAAACATGCACAAAAATAGAGCAAATACTACAATTAATCTCTGTGTACACTTTACACATATTCATCATTTTCAAGATTTCACCAACTTTGCTTAATCTATCCCCTTTTTTCTTTTTCATTACTGAATTATTTTAAAGTAGCCCCCCAGAAATCATGTCATCTTATTTCTATGTACTTTAGAATGTATTTCTTTAAAAAGTGGGCATTTCCTTGAATAATAATGTCATTCTCACACTTAGCAACATCAACACTAATTCTTTGGTACCATCTACAGTAATGAAATTTCTGTTTTAAAAATACCTCTTTACAAATTGGTTCATTCAAATCACAATCTAAACAGTTCATTTGCTGAATTTGATTAATTCTCTTAAATCTCTCAATCTAGGGCAATTTTTCCTTCTTTTTTTACTTGCTGTTGCCTTGCAGACACCAAGTCATTTAACTTGTAGAATGTCAAATATTCTGAGGTTGTCTTTGCCTTCCTTCTAGTGAACTGGCTCTCGATTTGTTTCATTATCTGTAAAATAGAAGTGAAGTCTACAGAGGCTTGATCAACTTTGGGTCCAATTATTTGATAAAGAATAGAATACTTCATAGGCAGTGGTTTGTGTGTCACATATTATTTATTAGGAAACAAAAGTTTTAATTTTCGCATTTTTTAGTAATAGCAAGACTCATTGCTGGATTCAGGTGGCACATCCAATCCTATCATTGTGAAATTCTCCATCAAGCTTTCATTATCCATTGATAATCATTACCTGAATCAGTTATTTAAGATTACAAAATAGTCATTTTCTAAATCTAATGTCTCCATTTTATAGTTGTAATTCTATAAAAAACAAAATAAAAACTTTCCCTTATCCTTTAGGACTTGTTACTCTAAAATGTTTAATTCTTGATGTTTAAGTACTAATTTTCAAAGTTAAAAGGCAGTCCCCCAGTTCTTAGCAGTAGTATCTAATGAGTTGTTTTGTTGGTGGTTCTGTTTCTTTTAAGAACATACTTTTTTTCCCTTGTAAAAACTCAAGCAAGTATGTTTAATTATGAAAGCTATTTTTTTTTCCATGCCAGGTAGTAATGATTTTTAGTTTTATTGGGTGGTAAACCTAATGTAAGTAAATTTTTGACCTAGGCATCTTTTTTGTGCTCCATCTTCAAAGCTTCATTCTTTGTGTCATGAATTGTGTGCTCAAGGAATGCAAATTAAATATAAGTCAAAAAAATTGAACATAGATTGGATATTTCCTGAAATTTAGAAAAAAGAAATAGCAGCTAAACCACTAAACAAAATATTTTGCTGTGGTATAAATAATCTCAGTATTTTAGGACTCCATTTTAACAAGCATATATGTTCAAAATGCAGTGTTAGGAGGCCTTACATAATAGAATTTTAACATTTTTGAGGAAAAATAAATGTACACACAAGATTTTTAATGTAGCTAAAGTGATTGTTGTTTCTTGGTTGTAAGTAAAAGTCAGGAGGCCTGGCTCTAATCTTGGCTCTACCTGGGCTTTACTTTTCTCATTTGTAAAGTGAAAGAGTTGATTAGTCGTAGTGTGGGTTCTTTTCCAACTCTATATGATTCTACAAAAGTTTGCAAAAATTTGTATATTTTCTCTTTTGAATTATAGTCTATTAATGTTTTGGTTAAATTATTAAAGAAATTTCTTTGTGTGGATATTGAATATTCTTGTATTTTTGATAGAAAAAAGAATTTTCTCTTCACACTTCTAGGAATTTCAAGAGCAGTTGAAAATCACCACCTTTAAAGATCTCGTAATCAGGGACAAGGAACTGCCTGGGGCATTAATTGCTTCTCTTATCAACTGCTACATCAGAGATAATGCTGCTGTTGATGGCATCAGTTTACACTTACAGGATATCTGCCCACTTCTGTATAGCACCGATGATGCAGTTTGTTCTAAGGTATGCTTTGTTACCTATTCAGTGTTTCTTACAGGAGGTTTCATGGTATGATGAAAAGCACACTAGAACTGGAATCAAGAATCATCTTCTTTTATTTAATATATGATCTTTGGTAGGTCTCTTAACCTGTTCTGGCTTCAGAATCCTCATCTGTGTAAGGAATGAGTTGGAAAACATCATTTTTTAAGATTCATGTATATTTCAGTTTTTCATTAATAGTCTTTGATAGTATTCCTAGTCCATATTTTTAAAAACAATGGTTAAATATGCCTCCTTAGAAATTAAGAAAAATTACTGAAACTTTAAGGAAGTCTTTAATGAATTAGAGTTAACTGGGCAATTTTTATTTTTCCTTTCCTACAGCTGGAAATAATTTTAAAAATCAGTGTCAACATCAACTGCCTGCTGACCAATAATGTATTCACTAGGCAAGAGATTTACCAGTCAAAAGCTATCTTGCTTAACATGTTTGTGAGAGGAATTAAGAATACCTAGGATTTTTTGGTCAAAAACTTTTCTGACTAAAATTGAAAAGAAGTAAGGTTGTAGACTTGTTTTTATTTTTAATGATAATAAACCAGATGCAAATTTAGACGTGGACTAAAACTTAGTTGACAGCATCATCTATGTGCTTGATTTATATCTTATTAAGTTCTTGTCATCTCTGTTGCCAGGCAAATGAACTTCTCCAGCGTTCCCGACAAGTTCAAAATAAAATTGAAAAGGAAAAGATGTTAAGGGAATCGTTAAAGGAATATCAAAAAATCAGCAATCAAGTGGACCTTTCTAACGTTTGTGCTCAGTATAGACAAGGTGAGAAACAAAATGCTCTTTATATGTTAATCAGAGCACAAATGACTGTGTGAACAAAACATGTTAATGATGAAGAGCCTCTTCCCGAGGCAAATCTTTCTTCAAGTTCAGTGGCCCCAGTGGTATGACAGAAAATTCATTCCTTATGTGTTTTAGTATTTGGTGACTGCACTGGCCTCTGGCAAAGCTATAATGATATTTTAAATCTTGAAATATGTAACTTTTAATATTGGAATTTCAGTCCTTGTCCGTTTAAACCACTACTTGTATTAGATTGCTCTCTGGGTGACATTTATTTTTCAGGTGTTTTAAATTCTTTTGAATAATTTTTAAAATATTACCTATCTGTGCACCTTTAAATTATTTTAAATCAAACCTAACATAATGTAAATGTAATAACTGTTAGCACACGTACTGCTTTGAATCCCAAGATATTTTTTTCCATCTAAGAACTGAAAACTTCCTTTTTTGTTAAATACGAATTTTTTTTTCCAATGAAGAAAATATATTTAATAGCTACATTTTAGGTGTGTTGGGAACTTGTTCTGTAGTAGATTGATCAGAAACATATGATACTGTCTTCAGGGTGACTAATACACAGTAATGACATAATAACCTTGATTAGTATTTTTATAAGCCACGTAAGAGAAAATGTATCCAGCTTCATAGTAAGCCTTAACTCTGTTCTTTCCCATTAGTGCGTTTTTATGAAGGTGTAGTGGAGCTCTCTCTTACTGCTGCAGAGAAAAAAGATCCTCAGGGTCTTGGGCTTCATTTCTATAAACATGGGGAACCAGAAGAAGACATTGTGGGACTTCAGGCTTTCCAAGAAAGGTGAGTTTTATCACCTTAGCAGGTTGTCAGCTTTATGGATATAGACTTCTCTGTGTAAAATTTGATTGATGATATTGAAAAAATAATATTTATGTACAAACCTTATAAAATTGAATTATGCCTTCACTTTACAATGTCTTTATCAAAGATGAAATTCTTAGCATGTGGGTAGAATTTTAGTCTGGTGAAAGTTCTTAAGAGCTTACAAAAGTTTCTGAACTTACCTCTGTGTTTTTCCTGAGACTTTTACTAATATCAATTTTAAATGAGCTACCTTGTTGGGAAACAAATCATATCCCCACATCTCCCACCAATGTCTAGTTCTGGGTAAAGATTAGTATTTTATTTTAAAAGGGCGATTTTTAGAAGTTTGTAAATTAGTTGAGACTATTAAAAAAGATGTATGTCCATAAAGGAAATATATAACCTATCTAAGATCTATTTCTTGTTAATACATTCATTTGTATGACTTACCCTTTTAAGTTCAACCAAATGGTTCTCAAACCTATTGGAAATGTGTATGATTTGTATTATTTTTATGTGTACATGTATGTATTTCCCAAATGGTCTTCAAATTCCTGTGTATATTTAAATTAGATAAGGTAAATCAAGTAGTGTCTAATTAAATAATGTAATTGCTCCTTTTCCATTCTTTTTCAGATTAAACAGTTACAAGTGTATTACAGATACACTTCAAGAACTGGTAAATCAAAGTAAGGCTGCTCCTCAGTCTCCCAGTGTACCCAAGAAACCTGGGCCTCCCGTGTTGTCATCTGACCCCAATATGCTAAGTAATGAAGAAGCAGGACATCATGTAAGAGACATAGCATATTTTCATTCTGAAAATACATTGGGCTAAAAAGTTCTGTGAGGTAGCAGTGACATAATCATCTTGGGAAAAATAGTAGCTCTTAAAACTTAACCACTTAAGGATTCGTGATGTATTACCAGTTTATAAGGCTGAGGGTCATCATGTCCACAACAGAGCCTTTAACTGTGCTAATTTTTACCATTTTCTTTATTTTAGTTTGAACAAATGCTTAAATTGTCTCAACGATCTAAAGATGAGCTCTTTAGTATTGCTCTTTATAATTGGCTAATACAAGCTGATCTTGCAGATAAGTTGCTTCAGGTAAAAAAAAATTTATTTCAATATTAATTTATACTTTTAAGTAACATAAGTTAATGGATTAAGCATATATATAGTTATAGTAAATTCAGTTTCTCACTCTGTACCTACCATTAGGTGTTAGTGTAGAGCCAAGAAATGTAGTATCTTTTCCTAGTGAGCAAAGTAGACTGTTGCTCTAATTTTCTTGTTTCTTAGAAGCTGATTAAGATTGCTTATATTGTGGGATGGTAATCACTGGATTATGAATTAAGAAACCACAACTTTGTTTTAGCTCTTACATTAAGTCACTGTGTAACTTCACACAGTCCTTTAACTACCCAAAGTCTTAGTGTTCCTCATTCTTAAAATGAATACATGGCATTTGATAATTGCAAGGAAGACTCTGAGCTCAGAGTCTAGGTATCGATAGCTGTGTTCTCAGTTTATTAAAAGATTTGTAATTGGATCACAATAAGTTATATCAGTCTAACGAGAAAAATCATCCTTTTAGTGTGGTTAGATTATAATTTTGCTTATGTATTCCTAAAACAAGGCCTGTAATTGTCTTACAAATGTTGTATTTGCTATGTAAAGAGCAAGTGGGTGGTGAGAAACTGTTTCTGAGTATCTGTACAATTTCCAGATTGCTTCTCCATTTCTGGAGCCACATCTAGTCCGAATGGTCAAAATTGATCAAAACAAAGTCCGCTATATGGATTTACTCTGGAGGTATTATGAGAAGAACAGAAGCTTTAGTAATGCTGCTCGTATCCTGTCCAAATTGTCTGACATGCATAGGTATGGCATACTGTTCTTACTGTAAGAAATGATGGATAACTGAGCTATATATATCTAATTACATTCAGATTTCAGAAGTTAAATAAAACCCTATTCAGGTTATGCATATGTAGAATTTTCATGCTGTTTCTTGGATTTCCTAAAGTTTACAGTTTTCTCTTATTTAGCTTTGTTTTTAGTAATGTGTAGGAGGTAATGTGTAGTAAATACCTAACACCCTTTCTATTCAAGCTATCTTCTAAATCCTTTCCTTTAAAATAAGCAGATTCTTTCCTACCTTTTGTACAAAGGGGAGATTGGTTGAGTTAGGAAGAGGAGGTTATTGAATTAAAGCTGTTATTAAACCAAGTAAATGAGAATGGTCACTTCAAGAGTCCAGATAACGCTAATAACAGGTGTGAGTGTGTGTACGTGCACCTCATACAGGTGTGTTGATTGCCTGTGTGGATCCAAGGCTTTTAGTCTTCTTTCCTTCCTTGGTCATAATAGTCTCTTAAATTTTTAAGTCCTGTCACATACAGCAGATAACATATATAAGTGACTTTAATTTCTTTGTCTTAGGTTTACTTAAGGGAAAGGAAAGAAATTTAAGCTAGTAAAGGCTTAAAAGGCAGTTTCTATTAAAGTCCTTGGTTAATCATAGTTTGTATAATTAAGAATTAACAGCATTATTAAATATTTAATTTGCTATAGCTTTGTATTTTAAGGTAATGTAATTCATTCCTTTATCCAGTGGTTGAGTACCTATTATTTACTGTACTCTGCTACAGATACATATGGACTGTACTCTTATTCATGCCTTCAGTATCTCATTTCTGGTTTACTCTTGTCATTCTTAATCCTAGATATCAACCATACAGATTTCATAAGCCATGTTTATTGTGCTGTTTATTGTTTAAAAACTTACAGCAGCTCTTATATGCCCTACCATTAATATTTATTGACCTTTTTATAGCACTTTTATATTCTTATAAAATATTCAGAAATTCTCTTTTAAGAATGCCCATTATCCATATCTACTTTATACATACATATAACCTAATTTCCTCTTCATGTGAGATACCCTGTCTATCCACTCTTTAGCTCTCAGCTTACCATCACTTTCTACAATAAAATGTTTTTCTAACTATTAACAGTACTCTCTCACTACACTCTTTTTGCATATGTAGACTGCACTGAATAAATTGGCAGCTATTAAACAATTTGGAAATGTTACCCACTTGTTGAATGTTTGGCTCAGGTGGGTTTTTCAAGAGATGAGAAGGGAAAGAAAAGAAAACTCTTTAAAAACAGGCTTCTAAATGTACAGTCTTTTATGTATAACCTTAAGAGATGGTCAGTGCTAATTAACTGTCATCCACATTTATACTTTGAAACAGAGAAGGGAGAAGGAATTACTTATTTTTTTAATTTGGTTTCTTTTTGGAAGGGGGAAAAATATAGTAGCCATAGCTACACAGAGAGCCATTTTAAGTAAGATCTTCTCTGAAAGTAAAAGAAAGCCATTTTTTTCAGATTCAAGTTGGAATTAATGGGACTATCAAAAAGTACATTTAATACTTGTTCATCTGAGAGCTTTCCAACAGCTAAATGAGTTAGTGTGTTTGTTTATAATGCCATGTTGCTTTATAATGCTGAAGAGCCAAGTTTGATAGAGTTAAGAGATTAGAAAAGACTAAAGATGGTAACCATAGAAGTGACTGTGTGCTTGGGGCTTTCTGACACTTGTCTGTCAGTCAGCCAGCAAATAGATTTTGAGTGCCAGTGACGTTCAAAGCATGCAGGAAGGAGTAGTAAGAAAACAACATCCCTTTCTCCCACAGAGCTCCCATTCAGTGAGTAAAGACCATAGACAGACAAGTTCAGGTTCTATAAATACAATAAAAATAGGCCTCAAATTGTCATTAAAATTGATTCTCAAATTATAAGAATAGACAGCCATTAAAGAAATGGAGAAAATGATCCAAGCAAAAGAACAGTAGTTTCTGTACTTTATCAGATTCAAGTTTATTGTGTTTAGAGTACAAAAAAGAAAGCCTGTGGTATTGGAGATGGTACAAAAGGGAGTCTGGAAGGAGATGAGGTTTACGGAGTAGGTAAGGGCAGTTGGAGGGTTTTATGAAAGCATGTGACATAATCTGATTTTTGTTATTAAGAGGTCATCCTAGTTGCTATGTGGAAAACAAAATTGTAGTTTTGGCCATGTTAAGGTAGGTAAGGGAAGGATATGAGGAGTCATAAAAATGTTTTCCTTAATTTAATTTTAGAAGAATCCAAGTTCTCATATACTGAACTAAAGTTTTAAATAGGAAGTTATTTTTTGGAGGTAAGCTTAATAAGTATTACTTTAATTTGTTGTCTCTTTAAATTACTAGAAATCCTCTAATAATTTTTTACAAGTTTCAAATGGCCTTTTATGTTCATTTGATATAAAGTAGTGCATCATAATTGATACATTTGTATATAGGATCCTTAAGAATTCATTTAAATAAAAAGATTTTTCCCTTCTAGCACAGAAATTTCACTTCAACAGCGACTAGAGTACATTGCTCGAGCCATTCTTAGTGCTAAAAGCTCCACTGCTATTTCATCAATAGCTGCAGATGGTGAATTCCTTCATGAATTAGAAGAAAAAATGGAAGTAAGTTTTAAAGATATTTAATATTTGTCCATACTAAGTAGTAATCACATGCTATTCACTTTCCCTTATTCTCCTAGTAAATAATAATTCTATAGCAGTCAGTATTCTCATCTTGCCTGCCTGCCTGCCTTCTCTGTCTCACTTTGTAATTAGATATAAATCTTTTAAAAGATTTTAAGGATACAGAACTTGGGTCATAGGACATTGTTGTAAATTAAGTTTTCTCCATGACATTTCTAAAGGTTTTTCCAACTGTTTGAACACCAAGCAGATTATCTCATACTCACCATTTATTATGGAAGCTAGTAAGTAGATATATGAAATAGCATAGGCTAAACTGCCTTAACTAAGAGACCCCAAAATGTATAATGGTCTAAATACAAAAGCTTATTCCTCATTCATGAAAATCCGGACTGGGTGTACCCTATTGAAGATGGCTTTCTTCCACTTGGGTGAATTCTGATCCAAGTCTATGTTCTGGCTCTACTATTCCCTGTAGCCTTATCTTTGTCTTCATTCAGAGGGAGGAAGGGAAAAAAAGCACATAAAAAGTGCATTCACTCTCTTAAAAACCTCAGCTGTAAAGTGACATACTTTACTTCCACTCACATTCCTTTGAAGAGAACTTAGTCTTTTGGCCGTATCTTCCTGCAAAGGAGGCTAAGTATAGCCAGGCATTGTCTGGCTAGTCATAGGGAGAATGGGTGTCAGTGAGTAGCAAAGGCTGTGTACCTCAATATACTTCCTGTGAATCTTTCATGTTATGCAGAGTTGCTAGTCTGTTATGATGGAAATTGTTATTTATACATTTTTATTGAAGTATAATTGATACATAACATATTAGTTTCAGGTGTATAGTACAGTGATTTGATACTTGTACATATTAAGAAAGGATCACCACAATAAATAGTTAACATCTGCCACCCTACATAATTAGAAAATTTTTTTTCTCGAGATGAGATCTTGTTTAAGATCTCCCTACTTTCTTTGCCACTTTCAGATATGCAGTATAGTATTGTTAACTATAGCCAGTATGCTGTTATTTATACATAATTTTTATTTTAACAACCTTAAACTTAAATACTAGGAGTTACTCCCTCAAGTACCTATTGACTTATTTTTTCCCTTTTTTTTAAATTGAATTATAGTTGATACACCATCTTATATTGGTTTCAAGTATACAACACAGTGGTTCAACAGTTATGCATATTATTAAACTCTCACCCCAACTAATGCAGTTACTATCTGTTAACATATAAAAATGGTAAAGAATCATTGACTGTATGCTCCATGCTCTACTTCCATCCCCGTGACTGACTTATATTATGATTGAGAATTTTTGTGCCCCTTTATCACCCTCATGCTCACCCTCTCCACCCACCCATCCACCCAACCATGCCCTGCCCCTATGGTAACCCACCAGTCACTTCTCAGTATCTGTGAGTCTACTGCTATTTTGTTCATTTTGTTTTGTTTTGTTTTTAGAATCCATAAATAAATGAAATCATGTAAGTACTCATTGATTTATTATAAAAAAGTTAAGACTTGCTTTTTTCTATCCAAACTAGGTTGCTAGGATCCAACTCCAGATACAAGAGACACTACAAAGGCAATATTCCCATCATTCTTCTGTACAGGATGCCATTTCTCAGCTGGATTCTGAATTAATGGACATAACTAAGGTAATAAAAAAGCAAGTGAAGTTCTTACAGCTATCACCTAAGATCTGTAAATTCCTTGTTTCTTTTGCCTTTTACTTAGTGTTTCATGGGAAGGATCAACTGACCTCCACAAAATAAGATAAGTCATCTTTGAGAGCATGTCGCTGGGCTGACAAATCATCTGTGATATCTAACTCTTAAAAAGAGTTAAGTTGCTCTTTCCAAGCCAGTTTCTATCAAGAATATGTCAGCTTCACAGGGGGCTTCCTTAAAACTCCTGCCATCTATTTTATTGCCTTGCTTATTATATTGAAAAAGTAACTTACCTTTGCATAATTCTCCAGGCAGCTCCCACTGTGTACCCTTCTGAGCAGTTCCTTTTCCAATTATTCTTGAACATTCTATTAAGATTTGTCAGTATTTCAGTGATTCTTCAAACTCTAGTTTAGACAACACTACTTCTAAAAGAAATGTCGTTGCAGCATCTCCTTCCCTGCCAAGGGGAAAAAAGGTGTACATATTGAAATCTGTTTAAATGTATTTACCATCCATTCACCGTTCTGCATCTGGAGTATAACCAGCTATGTCATCACATCTTGATGTCATATTTCAGAACTTCAGATTAAATCTTTGGTTATTTTTAACTTTCAGGTAGTGCTTCACTATTAACTTCTGAATGCTGATCTCTGGTTGTATATATAATGTTGGCATTTTCTCTCACAGCTTTATGGGGAATTTGCTGACCCATTTAAACTTGCAGAGTGTAAACTTGCAATAATTCATTGTGCTGGTTATTCAGACCCTATATTGGTGCAGACACTTTGGCAAGATGTCATAGAAAAAGGTAAGTGTTCACTTACAGGTATATTAGCAAACATTGTTTAGTGACTTGGTAGAGGGATGCAAGCTACTGGTGGCTCATATACCTGGGTCTATGAAAATGTTATATACCTAAGTAGGGGTAAGTGGAGGATACCTGGATATGGTAGAGGGTGCTCCTCTAGAAAATTATCCCAGTGAATATAGGAGAGGACTTGCAGAGAAAAGGATATGTCATTTTTGTGGTTTGCACAGCTTAATAAGGACTTATGAGACACTTCCCTTATAATCTAATAAACAGTGACAAGAGTATATCGATCACTAGAAGAAACACAGAATCTGCTTACTATATTAATGTGAATATTTTCATTTTGTACAACTATAAATAATGGTATTTTTACCTTAAAACAGAATAAAATAGTCAGTTGAAACATTTCACATTAGAAATTTTTTGTGTTTCTAATGTCATGTCTTCTTTGCAGAATTGAATGAAAGTGTGTCACTGAGCTCCCCAGATAGAATGAATGCTCTTAGTCTCAAGATTGTACTCCTTGGCAAAATTTATGCTGGCATGCCTCGCTTCTTTCCTTTAGGTGAGCATTAACCTTACATGCCTGTCATGTTTTGTTTTGTTTGATGATTTTCTTCATTGATGTGGAAAAAGGATGCTCTTGGGAGCGAATCATTTATTTGCTGCTATCTAACTCAACAGCTTAATTCTACCTTTTCAGAAAGAAAGGCCTCCAAAGAATAGCAGAATTTATTGATGAGTAGTTGAGTATGAAACTTTCTTTGATCTTCCAAACATATAAATATATATCTTGGGATAGTGCTGACTAACAGACTATAGTAATTATATTGTTAGTAACCCTATACAAGTTTGTAAAGAGAAAAGAAAAATGGCTGGTGTTTTTCTTCATGGGTAATCAATACATGATTGATTGAGCTGCTGTTTGTTATATTGAGGACATATTTTTCTTTCTTAACAAAATATGCTGACTAATTGTTATGTAAGTGACTATTATGAGCCACTTGCCAACTTACAATGTTTTCTTCAGTTACAAAATAATGGAATTAAAATAAGTATATACGTAAAATAGAATGTTAAGTATTTTGTGATTTTGGAAAATGTTGAGAAACATGAAAGTATTCACCACACAGCATTAATTTGTGTTGTTTTAAATGAGGTTGCAGACTTGTTTATAGACCATTTCTCATTTAGAATTTATCCCCTGGGCATGGTAAGAGATAATTAAAATCATACCCTTATTTCTTGTAAGTATAGTATTAAGTGTGTGAAACTTGACAGTTTTGAGAATGAAAAGGCCATGTAATATACAGTCCCTTTTGAGGGCATTGTGCTTTGACTTAGATTTTAATTTTTGAGCCCAATAAAATTTAGAGGAGAACAGGCCTTCCTTTTTCTGTCAGTCTCTTAATGGCAAGCAAGCTTCAGGGGACTTCAAACTAGAACAAGTTCAGAGTTTTTAGAATTTTTTTTACCCATCCAGAGTCTTTGTATGGTGAATTCTAGGGTAGAGGCAGGTTCAGTATTATTTTTTTTCAGTGATTCCTCTTGTCTGTGGATATTCACATTGTTAGTCTAAGGATTCAGGTATCAAAAATAAGAACTTGATTATTACTGTTATCTTATTCATTATGACAGGTAATAAATGAGAATGGGGTCATAATTAGAACCATCAAAATAAATAACATTAATGGGAGGAACATTTAAAAACATACTAATATTTCTAAAATCAGGGTGCAATACCCTTTTTTCCTGAAAAGCTATTAATGGAGGATATAGTATATCAAGATACTAAATATTATGAGTGGGTGTTCTCCTATAGTAGGATTGAAAACAGTATTTTCTTCTTGTATTTCTGTATTTTCCAAATTCACTAAAATGTAGGGTTTTTTCATAATAGCTTAAAGGGTATAATTCAGTGGTTTTAGCATATTCAAAGAGTTGTGCAACCATCACAATTAAATTTAGACCAGTTTCATCGCCTTGACGAAAAAACCACATACCTATTAGCAGTCACTCCCCACCCACTTCTTCCTTCCCTCCCTCTGTAGGCACCACTGATCTACTTTCTATCTCTATAGATTTGCCTATTCTGGTGTATGATTTTTATTTTAAAATTTCTTTTGAAAATTATTTTTTAAAAGATTACCCTATGAAACTGCTCAGTTGTAAATAAGTCTGCTTTTTAACATCAAGGGTTAGCAGTGCTACAACAATGACCCAATAGAAATTATGTGAGGTGTGTGTGCTCACCAATCTTATTGTGGTAAGCATCTCACAGTATATACCTGTAGCAAATCATCACATTGTACACCTGAAACTTATATAGTGTTATAGGTTAATTATGTCTTGATAAAGCTGGGGGAGAAAAAGCTAACAATCCTAATTTCTGTTCTTTCTCTCTCCCCAGATTTTATTGTGCAGTTCTTAGAACAGCAAGTTTGTACTTTGAACTGGGATGTGGGGTTTGTAATACAGACAATGAATGAAATTGGAGTGCCGTTACCTAGACTACTAGAAGTATATGATCATTTGTTCAAGTCACGGGTAAGGAATATAGTAAATAAAATAAGATTAATTTATTTGGTTTAAGCTATCTACCTTTTTCTAGATAAAGGAATATTTGGATCACATGCTTATAACTAGTTCAGCATCTAATACGGTTGCATCAGAAATGTGCTTCATTGGTTGAGTGTCAGAAATTATCATACTTTGGACTTTTAAAGTCAACAATGAGAGTTTGCTTTGCTGCATAATGTGGTAAATATCAAACATTTTTTAATCTTAATTAACATAGGTATATATGCTTTACTCTTGGAACAGACTAAACACATTAAAGGACCATTTACTTTGAAAGAACAAAATAATAGTGTATTTATTCACTAAATATGTCTAAAATATCCTTATGTAAAATAACCTCATTGAAGTATCAATGCTTAAAGATCTTTCTCACCACACACACACAAAAAAATTTTAAACTATGTGTGGTGATGGAGGATAAGTAGACTTTCTAAGGTTATCATTTCATGGTGTATATAAATAGTGAATCATTATGTTAAACACCTGAAACTAGTACAGGTGTTATATGTCAGTTATACCTCAATTTAAAAAAATGTTTCTCACCGTATTGAACCCTATCAGACTACGTATTTTGTAATTTTTTTGTCCTAAAAGATGCAAATGAAATCTTGTTAAACTAGATCACATCCTTTTTGGTAGAATCATCAAAACATTCATACAATACTTTACAAGGCACTTATATGTGTCACTTAAGCCTTGTAAAGAACTTACCATGGAATTGAGCAACTGATAGTAACCCCATTTAACTTTTACATCTGACAAGGGCAGAGATATTTTAAACAACCTGCTCAAGCCAACATGGCTAGTAACTCGTAAAGCCAGAGCCAAAATTAAGATTCTTTGACCACTGGTTTTACAATATCTCTTATTTACAGTATCAGAGTAAATCTGTTTACATTTAAAGAAAAAGTGTTGTCACTATCGATAGGAAGAAATGGATTTTTTTCTCTTACCTCAGGTTCCTAAATAGGAAATTTACATTCTCTTCAAAGTGGATTGATACTTCAAATATTCTTTCTAAATAACATCAACTGCAGTTTTCAGTGTTGTTCAAATATTAACCATAACCAGATTTATAATTTAATAATTCTGTAGTATTAAATGCTTATTCTGATACCGGTAAATTTTGCCTTGGGTTCTGATGATTGTTTTAACTAACAAATGGTTGAAATATCAGTCAATACAGTTTGCCTTACAACTCATGATGTATATTTTCTTCATAGGATCCATTCTGGAACAGAATGAAGAAGCCACTCCACCTTTTGGATTGTATACATGTACTATTAACAAGATATGTTGAGAATCCTAACCAAGTTTTAAATTGTGAGAGGTAACTGAATTAGAGCAAAATCTTTAAATGCTTCTAATAAATAAAGGGTAATGAAATAGGAAGAATAGGAAAAGATATGGAGATTATAAAGAAGTGTAAGAGTATATCAACTATATTCCAATTTTTTTTTTTTAAGTAAAGGAGATTTAAGCTCTTGTAGAATTTAACAATAATTGTTTGAATATCAGTCAGCATTTATGAAAGGTTAGGGTTTTTTCCATTTTTCAACCTTTGTCCTAAATGCTTTCTACAAGTGAAAGGATGTAATTTATAAATTACTTCTAAACTCTTTTGCTTTGAATTAGTGACATAGGACAGTTCAGTTACATCTTTGAGATACTATGTACCATTTCAAGATATATTTGTTTGAAAGGGCCAAAAGAAATGTAAATAGTATTTAAGGAGTCATCTCTTACTGCTTTCTCATAATAATCTTCAAAAGGAAAATGGTGATTATGTGGTAATTCACCTACCCTCTAAGTTTTCTTCTGTGTTTTCATGTATTTGCCACTTGCTTAATCACATGATCCTTGCTTTTTTGTGGGACTATAAGGTTAACAGAAGTTGGCAGGATGTCCTGTAGGAGGAAACACTTCAAAATGTATAGATTGTTGATCAGGTGTCTTTTCCTTTACAGGAGAAGATTTACAAATCTCTGCCTGGATGCTGTTTGTACTTACCTGGTTGAACTCCAGTCTATGAGCTCTTCACTAGCAGTACAAGCCATCACAGGAAATTTTAAATCTCTTCAGGCTAAACTAGAACGGCTTCATTAATTATTGTAATGTATTTTTCATCTGTGCATTTTGACCTGTAAAATAAAAACTCAGCTGGGTCCAGATACAGGTGCTCTAAATCTAAAAATTTAAGGAAGTTTTAATAGAATTATGTTTTTAATAAGTGGCTAATATCTACAAACAGTACATTTGCCAAGTGAATCTTTTTTACTACTACTATTTTGGTTTTTTTAGTAATTAGTTTAAAAAATAACAAATAATATTATTTATGATGCAGGATAAAAGATATTTAGAAACTTATTTTGAATTTTACCGCAGCAGAAATTTTGAATTTATATTATTCATTTTCAATTTAGTCCAAACATATTGATAACAAAACTTAAATCGTCTAGCCAAGCAGATCCATTGCCATAATACCAGATTCAACAGTAATCTTTAAGTAGGCAAATAAACACTGTGTCTTTTTTAAAAATGTCTAGGTTTTCAATTCATTCTTGAAAAGAAAGTTCTTCTGATTACTAATTTTGTCAGTTACTATCCTTGAAGATTAATATGTACCTGGTTGTTTTTAGAGCAGGTGATAAACTTATAAGTAATGTTTTACTTCCTAAAAACCTGTACAGGGAGATACTGTTTTCTCTTAGCATCTACCTAGCTCTTTGGCCTTGTGACTGCAGATTCCATTAGAGCAGTGGTCCCCAAAGCGTGCGCACCAGCCCAGCGTATCAGCATTACGTGGGGATTTGCTCCCCATCTGATTTCTCCCCTCCCTCCCTCATCAGTAACCACAACACAAAGTTGTACTCAAGGTGCACACTATACAAAGCAAAATCATTGGTAATTTAGTTTTTAGTGTTCAAAAAAACTGTAATAACTAAACCAAGTGCCCCAAAGTCATGGCAACAGTGAGGGAAGAGAAGAGTGTGAATGACCAGGGCTAACAAAAAAGCAAGAACATGGACTGCTTTCTTCTCACCTTTTAAGCTTATCAAGAAAAATTGCTGCTTGCCTATAGTCACTCTTGCATGTCTGACAATTTTTCAAATACATTTTGAAAATATTTTTCCTACTTTAATGTTTTCGCAAGACCATGGTTGCCCTTTACATGTTTATATATAATCTTTTGAATTAAAGTATTTAATAGAATGTCAAAATAACATTCATTAGATATCACTACCTCATATTTTCCAGCTTTTCAATTCCTTAAGTTTAGTTTTTTTGAATATATAAAATGAATGTACACCATGTATTGTTAATTCTGTAAATTTAAAATTCTGTCATGTCTGCTTAAAATGAAAGTTTTCCTTAAATACTGTAATTTAACCATGACTTCAGTTCTTCTAGATTTATGCACATATATATATGTTTTAAGCAGTTACATAGAAGCACATTAATATGTATGTTAAAGATACTCAGCTCAGAATACTGAAGCTACATCTTTCAAAAGGGCTGTAGGCTGTGTGGCTAAATGTTCCTTAGGAGTCAGAAACCTGAACTCTGTCCATTTTATTCACATAGCACCTTTTGAGAGGGTTAAGAATTTCAGCCACACAGCATATGTTTTCAGTGTCTTGGAGAGTAAGAGCTAAGATAAATTAGGTCCCCTCCTTCATAACAGTGTTTCTAAAACTTAAACATTCCTAAGAATCACCAGGATAGCCTGTTGAAACAGATGTTCCACCTCCAAAGTGATATGGATACTGGTGGTCAGTAAGTCAAACTTGGAGTAACATTGTTCTCTAGCACATTTATCTACTGCATTAGTATACTTCGTACTAGGTGTTCACTCAACACATTTCTTTATAGTGACTTATATAGGCAACAAATAATAAACAGAACATTGTTTATGAAATAGTGCATTCATTATAGACGGGTCACTGAAGGTCTTGATTGTAACATATTTCTGCATTAGGTAGATCATTTAAGTAAGGCAAAATGGTTAGGAAAGAAGAGAAAAATCTGTTTTGAGTATGCAAGGTATGGGATATTGACCCTGAAAAGCATGTGATACATGTTCAGCATTTCTCTAGTAGTAAGATACCTGAATTACTAGCGACTTATTCATTGAACACCTCTCTACTAGCCACATAAACTTCCTCTACTTTGTTTTATAGTTAATCACATCTCATGACTCACAGATCACTCATTCCTTCTCAGTATACTTCCCACTTCCACCTTTATCATAGTCATATCAAGGAAATGGAGAACTAGAACATTGAATATAAAGGTTTTAAAGGAGCACAGTTTCCTTTCATATGTATTTTCCTTGTAAGGAGATTGGACCTAATGACTTTAAATCCAAAAATTTGTAAGAACTAATATAATCAATTTCTTATTCAGTTTGTCCTGTTCAAATATTAAAGTAGTTACAGTGCTATTTTTACTTCCTTATTTCAAATAAATATAATTTCTACTGCATTATAGCATGTTTGAAATCAAACATTTGTTTTAAAAGTCATGCTTTTTGCATGTGGCAGCTCCTGTTAGCAGGAAAACTAATGCTTTTTAAGGTTAATCAGTTAGCCATGTGGGAGCTAGGATTATATCTCCAGCCCACACTGGACTGTCTACCTGTATAATGAACATTTCTACTTGGATGCCCTCCAAGTCTCTGTCAAAATGTGACCAAATCTCTAGTCTTTACTCTACCTGCCCTTTGCCCGCTCCTGTTCTTCCTCCTTTATTTTCTACCTCAGTCTTTATCATCTAATTATTCAAATTGGAAATGTGGGTATCGTTATTAAGTTCTTACCTCTCCCTCCAAATCCATTCAGTCACCAATTTCTAATCAAATCTGTTTTCTTAATATCCACCATTTCTGTCCAATTATCTCACTATTCTAGGTTTTTAGAGTGTAATCAGATGACTGTATTTCACTTAGATGCCTACAGTAGCATGTAAGTGGTCTTCCAGCCTCTAATTTGACCCCTTTCATTTCTTTCTCCACACTAAGTTCAGAGTGGTCTTTAAAAAATGCAAACCTAAGTATACTACACCCCCACATATCCCTCAGAAGAAATTCCAAATTCCTGAGGGAATTTGAGGATTCCATAGCAATTGACAGAAATAACAATCTCAAGTTAGTTTAAGCAACAGACAAATTTATTGGCCCTCAAAACTATCAAGTCCAGCCACTTCCACATGGCTAGATCCCAAGACTCAGTATATTCAGGGCTAGGTCTGTTCGGTTCTTTTCACGTTCATTTTGTCTCTGTAGTCAGTTCGTTCCATGACTCCAGGGAGAATGTGGGCAGTGTCAAATTACTTAATCCTGTTTGCTCTAACCCAGCAGTACAGTAAACAGAAAAGTCCTAGAGAAGGCTCTGATCAACTCAGCTTGAGTCATGGACTCAGTCTTGGGGTATGGTGGTACAGGATACAGGATAATCACCAAACCATCTACAACAGGAAAGACACACTTTCCTAAATAATTAAATGCTAGGCTCACATCAGTCCACTTATCACTCAATTCCTTGTGCTTTGATGAAAACCATAAACCCATAGATGAAAGAAATTCAACCCAGAGCAGGACACAGAATTACATTAAAGCATGTCATAATCAAATTCTCAGCAAATCTGGAATAAAAGAGAATTTAGCCTGATAAAAAAAATCTATGAAAAATATAGGTAAATGCCTCACATAGTGGTGGAAGACTAAACTCTAAAAGTTGGAAACAAAGATGTTTCTGTTTAACATACCATATTGGAGGTCCAGATCAGTGCAACTGGGCAAATGAAATGTAAGATAAACTGGAGAGCCAGAAATAAATGTGTGCTTATTCACAGTTAGATAATCCTACAGAATATACAGAACATACCAGGACTACTAGAGCAAACTGCTAGAACTAATAATTTAGTAAGATCACAATCAATACACAATTACATCTCTTATGTACAACTAATCAATTTTTAAAACGCCTTTAAAATAGAGCAAAGAAAATTAATTTTAACAAAATATGCATAATACATGCACACGGGAAACTACAACAAAGCTGGAAGAAACTAAACCTTAAGTGAATGATATACAATGTTTGTGGATTGGAAGATTGAATTTAATACATCAGTTCTCACCAAATTGATAGATTCAAAGCAGTCCCACACATTTCCAGCAGACATTTTT